CATAATCTGAATGATCTAAAGCAGTATCACAAAAAAACAGACCCTGCTAATCAATCAAACCCACATTTCTGTCTGGTCTTGTTAATATAACTGCTTTTATATAAAATGTGTAAAAAAAAACGTAGGTTTGGGTTCAACTTTTTACAGGGCAGAATGTTGTCCTCTGACGTTAACGTCTTGCAAGTATGTGTGGATGCACATAAACACAAGCGGTGGGACCCCAGCATGCTTCCTGCTGTCCAGCTGTCCACCTAATTGCAGTTCACTGCACGCTCGCTCTTTTCTTCATCCCTCCCCGTCCTGCTGGAGATGTCCCACAGACGTTTCCCTCGTAATAGAAACACAAATAACCCCAACGCTAAAGACAATGAGCCTGCTTGCTGAAGACACTCAGTTTGGAACTTGTGTATGTCATTTATTTATGTGTAGTTGTAGTTGTAGTTTTCATGTGTGTGTTCACTGAGCTAGAACAGGGAGCTTTAGGAGGTGTCTTTTGTTGCTCCTGGGGGGCTACTGTGCTCAGTCCTAATAGGGGTCTTGTGCCTGCCGTTGTCCCAAGGGAGGGCTTCTGAATGAGGGGGTCTAACTTCACACCCCACCCCACCCTCATCTCCATCCCCAGCTCGAGCCAGGCCTCCCCCACCACCCTCTCCAGTCCCTTGGGAATGGCCGAGAGACAAAGAGGGAGTGGGGCTGGGGTGGGGTGGGATGTTTGAGGGGGTGCACTGTGGCCCCTGTCTTATTAGAAGGGTCGTGAACGTGTCACGATGATTAATATGCCGAGGTGCGTGGGGATACCCTAGAGTCACATTTATTCAACATGAGGGCTCCCAAACACACACTCTCCACAAAATGGCACATTTGCATTTCCCATTAAGAAAAGTGTATGTGTATATATATATATACATATATATGCAAATGACCATATTACTACAATCTTGGTTGGTACCATTTTGCATTATCCATATGGATATTAACAATAGATGACCATTTCTCGCTGCGTCATTTAAGCTCATGATTTCCCCCCCATGTTGGAGCAGATGTACTCAGCCTGAGAACCTTCCAAGAGTTTGAATAATAAAGTGGACTTTAATTAATTTGTTTTAAATCACAAGCTTTACATGTAGATCCCTTTTAAATTCTAGAAATATTTTGTGTTAAATTATAGTTAATTCCTGTTACCATTCAATGTAAAAAAAAATCATCATTTTGCTGCTTGACAGAGCATTGAATAATTTTGATAGAGGGATTTATCTTAAATTAACATATTATGCACATTGTTGCTGGAGTTGATAGTGTGGAAACAGCAGTTAAGAAATCAATCTTCATAAAAAAAGAAATCATTATTCTGCTATTTCTGCCAAGTCTTTTTAGAACATGTCTTCCATATTGAATTCAGATTGAAAAATATCCATTTACCATATTTGCCCCACTGCCAACATTAATGCAGCCTCACCAGTAACATGTGTTAACTATTCATTGTGTGACTGCACCCTAACTTTCCCTCTCCATCTGTTTTCAACTGTTTAACTGGCTCAACATGACTGCATTTGATTATTAAGAGCATTTCACTTTGAAAAAGGCTTTGTTCATATGAAAATGGACAGATGGCATGGTGAATAAGCTCTTATATACATATGTCTCCCACTAATATACACGTATAGTATGCCCTGGGCTAACTATGGGACACAGGTACCCAGGGAGTCCACCAGATGTTTGATAGGCTCACCTGCAAGCCTGCTGAGTGCTGGCAGTAAAATTCATGCGCTGCATATGCTGCAATTACACCACAGGGAAATAAGCTGCTCTAATAATGAAGTTGTAATGAAGAAACATGAGGAGGAAAAGCAAACAAACCTGTTTCCCTTTGGAAAACTAAGCCTCTGTCCATACTTAACTTTACTTGTTTTTAATTTTTTAATTGAAATAATCTTTTTTTTTCTGTACAAGGACTAGTTTCCATCTTTATCTACAGTTTACCCGAGGAGAGAGGTGTTGTTGCTCCAGTAGGTGGTGCTGAATGCAAAATCTAAGTTAATATCCCGCATGCAGTTTTGAAATCATAGCGTTTAAAAACTGAAATAAATCTAAGCAAATTGTTCAGTAAATTAAGTCATAAAAACAGTCCTGCAGTTGCAATAAAATCATAAGCTCTCTTTGCAATAATATGTTATGGTAGCAGGAGCAAAGTTATTGCAGGTAGATGTATTAAATGTCTTTACAAGCTAGCTTTGCTCGTTTTGCACAAGTGGAGCACCCTGCCACGACGTGCGGTGCAATTAAGCAGCAGGAATTCATCCTCTGCGGTGTGCCTCTTACTTGTGCACTTACAGGATATATAAAGGCACAAATTGATCAATGCAGTCATTGTTTAAGATGACGTAGCTCATATGTTGTGCATGTGTGTTTAATAAGGGGGGTCCTTGCTGGACCACAGTATACGGGCCCGGCTTCTCAGATTACTCCTCCTCAAGAAAAGGTCTCTGCTTCTAGAAGTGGAAACGTTTCAGCTCTGCTTTGTTCTTTGTTTTCTTTCTAGAATAAGAAACAAAAGCGATACAAACTGTTAGTGAAGGAAGAGCTGTCGTATGTCGGTCTCCATCTGCAGCGATTAAAAACAACAAAAAGTAGTAATCACAAGTAAACCCCAAGCAAACTGCAGAATCATTCATCCCCAGTTTTGTGCTGATGAGCAAACACAACACCACCAACGTTAATTGCTGTGACCCCAGAAACCCACCAAAAGGAACATTGACATATTGTTTGTTCAGCGTGAGACACTGTATAATTTACACTCACTAATGACTGTCCCAGGAAATACAGGCTGAAGACCACGTCTGTCCCTGGCTTGGCCCTTATTCAATATTCACCCTGGACCGTTCTAACGGATGGTCCATCTGTACCTCAGTGAATTCATATCCCTCAGTGCATGCCTATAATTCAATTACAAGACTTGTTTAGTGTAAAAAGAAGAAAACAGCCTGGTGCAGTGTTCTCTCCCGGCCAATTGAGGTTTGATAAACAAATTCACTATTGGCTGGAGAATCTCCACCCTTATCAAAACAAAAACAAACTGTGGCCGGTTCAGTGCTTTTTAGATTTGAGATGATTCTCTGTTTAAAAAATCAAAACATGTGTTGTGAAGAAAGACGTATTACCATTGCCATGGGGTCGACCTTGACCTTCAAACTCAATCTGGGCTGCCCCTCCCCAGCACCCCTGAGATGTAAAGAGGCTGACGGTTTTGACCCCTGATCCCATTTCTTAACTAGGCTGAGGTGCCAAATAACCTTTTGACCCAGGAAGCATTTGCAGGTTGCCTCAGCAACCTCAGATTTCGCAATCATTGACAGTTCCAAACTGTTTTTCTTCTCCACTCCACTATTTTCCTTTCTAAAGAGGAAGATCAACCCTCCCCTTCGAGCTAAAAGAGAGAAACCGTTTATTTGCTAGATCTAGATTGTAATGTGTCAAACACTCTCAAAGAAAATGTCCGCATTAGATATTCTTTTGTATTCAGTGGGCACATTATTATGCCAGATAGATGCAGAATAAATTTCCCTTAATAAATGAACGTTTTACATGGAAATGAATGTATGAATGCAATGGATGGATGTCATTATATCAGATGGAGGTCTATGTAAATGAACCATGAGCAGATTCGACATGTGGTGCAAATCACAGAAACACCAGAACCAAGGATCATGACAGGAATAAATCTGCCCATTTCAGGAGTTGGTTTGTGTTCTTTGACGTAACCCTTAATCCACACCCCAAATATATTTTCAGCAAGAATGAGCCACTTAAAACCTTAACATTGCCATTTGTAATATAAGGGTAGATCCTTTCATTACAATTGACCCTGGGGAATCTAAGGTTACCATCTGGCCACTGGCCACCATTACTGATCCTTGTTTTAATATGCAAATAGAGCAACCGTGATGTAATCACAAATGTAACCCGACTGAATGGACCATGTGGACATTTGATAAAAGACAGCCTTCATGCAGATGTAACTAAAATGAGTAGTTGGGCCGAACGTGTCTGTTTATCAAAATAAGTTAAGGAACCCTAGACTTATAGTGACAAATAGTGACAGATATGGATTATCTTCTCTGGGTTGTGAATAGTACTTGGGTTTTTATTCTGTAGATGACTCAGTCTCAAGTTTTCAAAATCCTAAATGAGATTCATTAAAGAGCAAAGAACAACAGCAGCGTATCACCGAGCTGTCACACAGAAATATGTCAACTTCCTTTGTGGAAGTGTCTTTCTTTAAGGTCAATATGCAAAACATGAACATCACACTATCATAACATCATAACACTTTTATAATGTCCACTTTATCACAAAATACAGTGTTTGTCTCTTGCAGGTTAATTAAACAGACTCAGGGTGTGTTATTGAAGAAATTGTTTTTAAAATGAAATATTTTATTTTTCTTAATGTAATAAAAGAAAACTGTAGTAATGGACAACTTAACATTAATAAGTAATTACACCACTGTCTCTCTTTTCATGCAGAGTACATTTTTCTAGCATTATGGGAAAAAGTTTGTACTGCTGTGCACATTTTTGGAAACTATGCCAAAAGTATGAGTTACTGGTAGTTCCTCATAAATTGTAGATTCTTTGCGCCTCTTTTGGAGTCAATTTTATTTTATCTTTTATCTTCTTCTAGTGGGAAATTGTGTGCTTTGCAGTCAATGTTGTACAAACCGACCAACAAAGATAGAGCCAAAATAAAAATTTGAATTAAACTAATTTTAGTGAAAACATTCAGGTGACCTTCATGTTTACAAAATTCTTTTAGGGGTATTTGTATGCCTTTATCTAGTTGTCAAAAGAAGGAAGATGATGGGTAATGAAAGATTGCAACTACATGCACCAAAGGTCCCTCGTTGGGTGCACACCGGGGTCAGTCAGTTCAGAGCTTTGTGAAGGGTGATGATAATTGATAATGTTATGAATGCGTTTTATAAATATAACTCTTCTCCACAGCGGAGCCCCTGGTGCAGGTGAACGGGAAGCCGAGCTGCTGCTTCTTCAAGTTCAGCCCCAAACTGATGTTCACCAAGGTGCTGAAGGCCCAGCTGTGGGTGTACCTGCGGCCGCTGCAGCAGACTTCCAACGTCTACCTGCAGATCCTCCGGCTGAAGCCCGTCACGGAGCAGGGCAGCCGCCACATCCGCATCCGCTCCCTGAAGATCGAGCTCAACTCCAGGGTCGGCCACTGGCAAAGTATTGACTTTAAGCACGTGCTGCAAAACTGGTTCAAACAGCCCCACACCAACTGGGGAATCGACATCAACGCCTTTGACGAGAGAGGCAATGATCTGGCGGTGACTTCGCTGCGACCCGGGGAGGAGGGGCTGGTAAGGACCCTCAGACCTGTCCTTTGGGCAGGAGGGGATGCACGTTTCTTAAAGCTCACATTTCTGCATGGCGGCCAACTTAATGCTAGAGGAAAAAATATCACTCCAAAAAATAATTTGGGTGTGTATTAATAACTAGATAAAACTAATATTGATTTAAATAATAAAATAAAAATAAAGAGGGGCATTCTCCCTCCACATCCTTGTTAATGTATTACGGATGCAATGAAAACTACTATACTATACTATACTATACAATATATATATTAGCAGATTTAATGTTGCCATACATTTTTTTATATCCTTTATGATTTGTGCTGATTTCAGAGCAGATTTAAAAAATACAGTCATCTATATTATATTATATTATCATTATTCATATTCATACTTTCTAGCCAGCCACTGCTTATTCATTTTAACATATCAACTTCACAAGTGTGCAGATATATGCTTCTTAACCCCACACAAACCTGTAGATTGTGGCAGAAATTATTTTTACAGTAAAGGTTTGTTCATCATGAGCAGGTTTTGAGCAGCAGTGAAATGAAGTTGTTGCACTGAAGAAAGGATCATGAAGCAATAATCTGCATTTTAAATACAAGAACATAGAAATACTGGGATGCACAGTGGAAATCCCATTTATGGGCCACGTCCAAAGCAGAAGCAGAAGCTACGTTTCTGTAAAAAACAGATAAATAATGGTGTACAGGGGAGTTTTGTAACTATTGTAAAGCTTCGCCCTGACCCTTGTCACAGGTTCACCTCAAACACAAAGATGCATTTGTTGTGTTAGTCAATAATACTGTGAATCTTTGTACAGAAAGGAGTGATTTCAAGCCTACGGGCACAAAGCACTTACGTCTGTCAAAGGCTGAACTCAAAAACCTCAATCTCCGTTACTGCAGAGTGAATATATACAGTCTATGCAAAAGGTTTTTGAAGGTGGTTGTGCAAGAATAGGTTCAGCTTTGTGTCAAAATTGTAGATGAAAAAGATTACAAAAAACTGCAGAGTCTATTGAACGGTTATGTATTTGTGACTCTAAATACCATCCCCACTGCACTCTGTTCGGATATGTTTGTCATGACCCCTCTATATTTAGTCCAGTACAGAGAAAAGCTGCTTTGTTTTGATCAGAGTTACTGCAGCTGACAGTAACATACAACATCTACGCTGAATTGAACAGGACACTCATCCCAGTTAAGCAACATCAAGTATTTACCAAAGGTTCATTTGGGTCTGATCATCGCAGCACATAACACAGCTCAGCTCTGGCGTCTCGACCAATAAATCTGCTGTCTCAGCACACAGCAGTGTGCAATATTATTCTTTAACCAAAAAAGCGTAGCTAAATAAAACAATGCACAACAAGCAAAGAAAGACTCAAACTGCTTCTGCCTGATACTGTGGGTATTTTTCTCTGCAACAGAAGCCCTAAAGGCCAGGCTGACATGGTCTCACCCCAACGCCCTTTCAGCCTATTTCCTCTTTTGAATGCATCGCAAAAACTGTGCTTGAACGCAGCTGGAATCCCTGTGGGGAGAGGAAGGCTTTGTAAAACAAACATGGAGTAAAATATTTGATCCGCTTGCCTTGCCCAAAGGACAAGGTTATGGTAGCCTGCAGATAAACCTGCCGGGTCAAGTATACCGTGTCGGCCATCGACGTTGGAAAAGGACAGTTTATAGTATAAGTATTTTCTGTTACTACTAGTTTGTTTTTCTGAAATATCCGATGTGTAGATATTTTATCCCTTTTTATCCCTTTTTATCCCTAAGCCTTGATGAACAAAAATGATCGACACCACTCAGCTGTCCAGATAACTAGAAGGGTTTTAATGCCATAATTTTCTAAAATTATACTGAAACATCAAAATCAATCAAATCATCAAATCAATCTGAAAATCAAGTGGTTTATTGTATTATTTTTTACTCTAGTGTGATTAGCCAGTGGTTGCACTGGTGATTAGCCAGTTCAATTAGCCAAGAATTAGTGGTATTCATATATAGAAGATCATTTTTCATATTAAACCTTTGTCGACATTTACACTCAGTTTTCATCTAAAGTATATTTTCATCGAGAAGGATATGTATGGGGAACATGCTGAAATTCCAATACTGCACTTTAATGCACTTTGCATAGCAGTTCATACCTGTACTTTGGCAGGTTAGTCTACTTAGGTATCAGAAGACATTTGCAGCTTGTAGTCTGTTATTTTGATTGTAGTATTATTTAGTGTAGTGTAAGGTATGAGCTGAGAGATGAATCAGACACAAAATAAGTGCTGAGTTGACTTTGTTTATATTAGTGTCCTTTCTTTAAAAACAACAAAGTTAATATGTAGTCATCCTCAGTTGAAAATATATTGACATGTATATTTATATATGTCTATCTTGCATTAGAGGTTAGTTCTGCTGTCTGTTCAAAACTCTGCTGATCAGCACCTTTAATGCTGTTTTGTTTAATCCACATACAGGACTGTATGAATAACACACTGCTTTACGGAGACTTGTTGCTGTAACTATTTCTTGGCAATAAACTGCTGGGAGCTGTAACTTCCCAAAGTCTTGTCGTTGCTGTGAGGTCGCCGGGCAACCAGTAGAGACACAGGAGGGCTGGATGGACAAATTAACTGTTGTTTGTCAAGGAATAGTTACAGTACCCACCTCCCCTCTAGATCACACTTGGTGAGTTAGTCTTTAGTTTGTGCACAGATTAAAAAAACAGACACAACATGATTATTAGTGAGTTTTAGAGTGTTTGTGGCTCAGTGGTGGAGCAGCGTCATCCTTCTGTTAGAGGATTGGCAGTAAGATGTCCTTGTCCATTTCGATGTCTCCTCGGGCATGACACCCCAAAATGCTCCAGCGAGCTTTCCTTTGGGTGTAATAATGGGAATGGAGGGATAGTTAGAGTGTTGAAGGGCAGGCGGCACCTCGCATGGTAGCCCCTGTCATCAGTATATCAATGGGTGTGATTTAGGACATATAATATTAAAACGCTTTGTATGGTCATTAGACCTGATAAACGCTATACCATTTACCATTATGGGAGAGTTTATATATACAAGATAATTATATAATTCAAATCAAACACATATGATAATATTATGTAGATAATCCAGTACCTCTTAAATTATTTCAATAATACAGTAAGGATTTGATTCTCTCTCCACCTCCCATTTTGGGGAATCGGACAAAGCACACAATTGATGAATTTGACTGTTAGGATTGGTAACTTTCTTTTCAAATGTTGATTTCACAATATTATCCATATCATGAATTGCTTTGGTAACGATAATTGCCAGTCACCGTGACAGACCTGGTGGGAAAAAAATCATCTGCTTCATCAAAAATGAACATCTAATGTCCTTTTAAGACACAATATGCCATTAAGCAGTGATGTCAAGTTTGTCCTTTGTCAAATATTTGCTTTCCTTCACTGATTTGTCAGTTATTGTTCTCCTATAACCACCTCTCCCTCTCTGCCCTGCCTCTCCTCCCCCTGATTCCAGCAGCCGTTCCTGGAAGTGAAAGTTCTTGAGACGACCAAACGCTCCCGGAGAAACCTCGGTCTGGACTGCGATGAGCATTCCACTGAGTCTCGCTGCTGTCGCTACCCTCTGACTGTGGACTTTGAGGCGTTCGGCTGGGACTGGATCATTGCCCCCAAACGCTACAAAGCCAACTATTGCTCTGGCCAGTGCGAGTACATGTTTATGCAGAAATATCCGCACACCCACCTGGTGCAGCACGCCAACCCCAGAGGCTCTGCAGGGCCCTGCTGTACCCCGACCAAGATGTCTCCCATTAACATGCTCTACTTCAATGACAAGCAGCAGATCATTCACGGCAAAATCCCAGGGATGGTTGTGGATAGATGTGGCTGCTCTTAGGCTGTAGGGGGGGACGCACACTTGCGTACAGTCACCATTGCATCAAACCACCCAAAACCCTTACTGAGCTCTCCCTTGGCACCAGAACCCACTCCTCAGCATCCAATTTCACTTATGCCACAAAATCATCCCACTCGGTTTCCATGCTTCCAGAAATTAAATAGATTCTAACTGTAAAAAAAGCTATTAATGAAACATGAATCAAAAAAAAGGACTGAGTGATGGAAATACAGCTGATTATGAATAATTGAAGAAGTTGTCCTCGTGGAGCAGCTTCAAAAAACGGTAAATGAGACAAAACTACTTAACGTGCTAGTTTTGTGGGTTTTCTAAGTTGTTTTTTTTAAATGGCATCTTTGTTCAAAGTCCAGGTTAGCGGATTGAGTAGACGGGAGACATAAGCATTTACAATTTCAGTCATACGGTGAGTTTGGAAATATACAAATACGCTTAACTTACGGGTGAGATTTGATCCACAAAAGTGTATGCACGGGGGCATTATCAGAATCACTTTGTAATCCATCACTTTAACAAAAATATCTAAATACACCTAATGTGAGGAGGATATTAGAAATGCTCCTTGTATAAATCCAAAATCCTGTTTACAGATGCTTAGAGATGTGCTCTAGAGATGTAAAGTGTTAAGGAGATCCAAGACCAAACCTATACCCTCTATTAATGTATAACACCCCAGTGTGACATTCTTGAGTATCTATGAAACCTTTCAAAGGTACTTTGATCTTTTATGTGTAGTCTTGTAAAATTCAGAAAGGAACAGGGAGAGAAGAGGTTATACTATTTTCACTCTGTCTTTCAAAGCGGATAACTAAAGCCAGTATAGCTATTTATGCCACAAACGCAGATAAGACATATTTAGGTTTCACCATGACACTAAAGTCTAAAACTAAGTACTGTAAAGTAGATGCATTCTGAAGGTATTTTGCACCACCCGGGAGAGGAGCAGGAGCAGAATACTGCAGGATGACAAGAACACCAGGACAGGAAAAAGAAAAAAGGAAAATACACTTTAACACCCTCAACTTTTGCATTCAATGTTTAAAACAGAGAAGTAAATGCACTGTTTCATAACTTGAAGAGGCCTGGAACTGAGCATGTAATAATGGACAGGAAGCAACGTCGCTATCCTGAAATTTAACACTCAAGGGTGACGGCAATGGTCAAATCTTTATACTGCTCTGTGTTTTTGAGAGGAAAATACTACAAAACAGGCCCACCGTATTAATCATTCCTACAGCAGTGTTAAAAATACTATCCAATTTAGAAAGAGCTTCATTTCTCACAAAGTGCTTTCACTTTTTCTCAATGCTAGTTTCAGAACAGAAGAACATAAAATACTTTAATTGCAGAAGTGATAGCTTTTATGAACCACAACAGACCACACACCCCGTTCAGATCACGACAATGTTACCCGACCACCGACTTTAGTTTAGAGAACACATTCGATTGCTTTTTGAAATGCCCCCATCCACCTCCACTGCAACTTTATCGCCATTATCATAAAATATTGTTAGTGCTTGAACACAGAGTAGATTAGTAACGCTTGAAGTCTGTTTTTGTCTCCTGGATGTCAAGCAAAGATATCCTTTTGTTGTAAACGAAAGCACTATGCTGTTGGATAAAGGAAGAGCCTTCTGACACTATATATAAATTATATATGTATATATTAAAAAAAGGGGTATAAAAACCTTTTTTGGGGGCACTCTACCTTACCAACAATAAATTTTGCACTATGGGACGTTCATGGCGTGAGGAGGTGAAGTGTCGTTTGTGTTGTACCAAGCACAAGAGAGTGTGTACAGTATAGGATGAAAAAAAAAGAAAAAATTGAAAAAAATATTGAAGCTTCTGGTGTTAAACCAAGAACTAGAGAGGTTATCACTGACTTTTATCTGAAGCGGGGGGCCTGTCCATGAGCTCACACACCTTTATCCAATCTGGAACATGGACGTACTGAACCAGCAGCCTGAAAGGCCTCCTTGCCCACGGTGGGGGATAAGTCATATGTATAATAAGTGTCTGGATCAATGAAAATGCTTTAACTTGAAATGACCCGCCTACCAACTCTAATCCATCTCCATGTTAGAGAAACTACGTCCGTTTGACATAAAACATAAATTGTCAACTGTCTTGCATAGACATGTTTTTGCCTTTGTGTGTATTTTAAGTGAAAGCACCCATGTAAGAATGGGAGGAGTATCCAGGGATCGTTAGCCAAAGTAGAGGATGACATGTTGTGTGCTGTAACTTTTGTGATCGTCGCAGGAATATGCTAGAACATTTCAAAGGGAGGAAAAAGCTGGTTTAGGGGCAGTGGTTGGAAATAATTCAACTGGTCAGTAGTCTATTTATTAATATTAATTACAACGCATCTCAAAGTCTGTCTACCTCACTGTAGCCCCCTAAAAACCTTGCTTTTTTCAATTTGTCATTGATTAATCTCTGCAAACATCTAACCAATAAGAACCCCCACCCCAACCCCTCTCAAAACATGTAGATGAAAACCACAGGGTCCCCTTGCTCTCAGGTTCAGATTGAGTTATTGACGGAGTGACTGATGGTAGCGGCTCTGGTAATGTGTGGTCAAAAGAAATGATTTGCTGTGCCCACATCTACGGCTTGCAGAGAAGTTGCGTTTTGAATTTTAGTGTTTGTATACTGGTATGTGTGAGAGTGTTTTCATATAAATATATGAGAGTAAGAAATCTCTATGTAAATACCTACCCAAATGTTGACCTTTATGATGTTTTGGACAGGTTCGCCGCTTCCAATGTTTTTCTCACTTTCCCTCTTCATTCTTTGTGTAGTTAAAGAGGAAAAATCCCCCCAACTTTGTAGTTTAATGGTTGTGCTTATGAATAACTGTTCATTTGTTATTTTTGCCTTTTGATGTTTATTTACTGTCATTTTCTTTTGTACAATAAATCATTTATTTAGCTTAAGGGATATGTTGTTTATTTCTGAAGGCTCTGATTAACCCACTACCTGCTCAGCGCCAAGCAGCGGACGAACGCATTCAGCAGCTGGAAAACAAAGTGGAGCATCTAGGCGCCAAAGGGACGGATATTTCCCTCAGGAGTTCGTTTCTACTATAAATGATTTAGCGAGCAGTAACTTACAAAAATAACTGGGGAACAGACCTTACAGCCCATTCAACTTTATTGACAATTTTAAAATGGTTAAAAACAAGCTGTGTTGCTTCTTGTTTTTCAATTGATCCGAATATCTAAACAGATTGATTCGCTGGAATTGGTTTATAAAATACTCACCTATTGTACTTGAGAGAATATAACCTCTACCCAGGTTGCCCTCGCACCTTGAGAGGTACATCCACACAATAAATCCCACACGCACTTAGTTGAGCCATCCTTATTCCTAGAATCAACAGTGACAGCCAGCGGAGGTGGCAGCAAGCAAATTCACCGCAAGGCTAATTGGTGAAAGAGAGCATTCAGAGGACAAAGGTTTAGTCTTGGGGTTACGGTCGCCATTATTTCCATGTCATATAAAATCCAGCCTGACCCAATTAATATGCCACCTGATAGAAGGGCCTCTCATCAACCTAATTTAGAGAATCAATTGGGGGCAAATGAGAGTGAGAACGAAGCTCTTTACGGATGCAAACAGACAAAGACCACCCAGTACAAGCTCGAGGAGACCGATGCCAGCAATGACATAAACCTTTTGAGAAATCCTCACTTGACATAAACAAACATTCACACAGTCCCCTGCCCCTCAAGTGCACCAATGCGGTACACATCATCCGTCATACCCACCCTACAAAGACAAAGGAAGACATTGACGGATGTTTTTAATTGTTTTGGTTCATAAGGAGTAGTTGTACAAGTTGGACGTGAAGTATTACAGGCTTCATAAGCTTTCAGACCATTAACAGAATGAACTCAGACCCAGCTTCATTAAATAATGAATACGCTGGGTGATGAAGGAATTTGCGCAAGTAAAAAACAGTACATTGCAATTGGAATATTGAAAATTGTACAAAGCCCAGAAGAAAGGCCTCACGGGGCTGGGAGGTTTTGGGAGGAGCTTTATGACTGTTATAGCTATAAAGTTAAGAAAGAAGGGGAATTGGGGGACGGCTCTCAACAGCTTCAATTGCTGGACAAAGTCATCAGTAACACCTTTTTGTCTGGCTCATTGACTGGCCGTTGTTTAGAGAGGGGAACTGTTCAGGGAAGATCACACGCACTCTTATGGGGTGAAATAATCTCACATGACAATAAAATAAACAGTGGGGACACAAGATTTGAGTCTCAATGAGTTGAAATAATCAACGAGGAATAATTGTGGACTTGTGTGTGGTTGATTATTTTAATCATTCAATTTGTTTAACTCATTATTTATGTTTATTTGCCTTCTTAAAGTGGAAATAACATAATTCCGTAATAAATACACCCATAACATTACACCTTTAAAAAGTATTTATTGTCACCAGCATCTCACTTAAGATGTATGATAATGGACGAACAGTATTTCCCACGTTCCCTGAGCTATTACTAAGTCATATATCCTCACTCCTCAACTGAGTTGTCATTCTAAACCTAAACAAATATCTTGAGTTTGTTGTTTCAACATAAGCTTTACTTTATTTAATGAATATCTTGACCTATTGACATTTTGTCTAGATTTATTTACCAGTTGATTTTCATATTAAGAGAAGGATTTGGATTTTGCTGGTGTGCTGTTTTTTTAACGTAATTTGATCAATTGTGTTGTAGTAAATGCTGTTATTAACTTCAGTTAACTTAGTACAACACAGCATAGTGTACAAAAACAAATGTTCCTTTGCATTTCTGCTCAAAGAAGAAAGTATCCTTTAGTGACCCTTCCCACACAATGGGAACCGTGTTCTGGCACCCGGGAAGCAGTTAGGGGTTAGGTGTCTTGCTCACCAGCCAAGGTTTTGAACCATCAACCCTGCGGTTACTGGTGCACCACCGCCACTCCACGCACCCCTGTTACCCTAGAAATGCTATATTATAAATCCATATTATAACATATAAAATCATCTATTCCACTATGAACTCTGGAATTCATTCTACATTTCTACAACAGGCTACTTTGAGGAAATGTCAATGATGACGATCCATTCTCATTTTATTTTACCTGTAGTAAAGTCAGCAGTCATTTAATCAGTTTAGGTACAGTTCACTGTGTTGGTTGAGTGTCTTTGTCAATGACAGCTGTCACTATTTTTGTTTTCCCAGCGCTGGGGGCAACCATGGTGCACGGAGTAAAGAGGGTGGGCCGGGAACCGCAGGGTTGGTGGTTCGAACTCCGGCTCCTCCATGTCCCATGTTGAAGTGTCCCTGAGCCACACACCCAACCCCTAACTGCTCCCTGGGAGCCTTTACGGCAGCCCACTGCTCCCACTGTGTGGGATGTGTTAAATACAGAGAACAATTTCCTGTATGTGTATAATAATACTTGGCAATAGAAATGGCTCCTTCTTCATCTGGTTTGAAGCTGACAATTACTGCCATACATGGTGGTGCAGTCCGTCCAGCAGGGGCTGCACCGTCGAAACAGGTCGGAGGGCACCTGGGCACCGGATGACTGCACTTGAAGGGATACAACAATGGTCTTGATTATAATTGCATCCTTTTGGTGCTTTGCCATTTTTATGCGGTGGGGCATTTCCATGGAATGCAGCCAAATGTAAGTTTGAGGAGTGTTTCAATATGTGTCGTCGTCAAGAAAGATGGCCAACAATGCTCAGTAAACAGATTCATTTCAAAGTAATGGTGACACAAGTTTATTCAAGGTTTGATTCAAATTAAATCAGTCTGACATGAAAAAATAGAAAGAAATCTTCTTTGGTGTTTTAATGTGTAACCACAACTCATACCAAAAATACAGAAAAAACACCAACACTTTATCGATTTAAGAAATACTTGTATAATGAAAACATACAAACTAAAACACTTGAACTAAACTGTTGTGTGCTAAAGTGCTTTTTTAAAAGCAACAACAAAATGATGAATTGATCTCAATCTTGTAACTCTCTGTTTCTTTGTCTCAAGAGAGGGGGATATATCTAAAAGTGGATGGAATAATTGTATTTACGTTTATATGCAAACTATAAGCAGATATTTCCAACACCAAACATGATCTTAAGATATTGTAAAGTATTTCATGTAAAACCTCCAAAAGGTCAAAATGATGTTGAAATAAGAACAAATCTGACTGTAAACATTTTTGTGTACGCTCCCTCAAATAAGCAAAACATAAATCCCTCAATAAACTGTCTCAATTTGGGAGTACCGGAAAATTAAAAAATTTATTTTCTCTCTGCTTCGCACAGGTACAACGTGCTGATGAGGGAAAAAACACCAGCTTCTTCTCTACCAACACACAGCAATTTGCACATTCCATCCACTTATTTTGATCTCCTCACAGCAGTGTGTGATTACATGAAAGTTATCCAGACATCTCTCTCAGCCCGAGAGCCAAAAGAAAAGCTTTAGTCCCATGTGGTTGTCCTGCAGTCCTGGTAATAATCTTAAATCTGCATTGCATTTGGAACAAAATCTTCAATCTGTTGCTCGACTATAACTGCCTATTAAAACACAGAAATAAACCTGTGCAGTGTCGTAATGTTAGAGTTGTTGTTGGAAGAAAAAACGAACAAACGTAAAGATACAAAAGTTTTGGAAAATCTGCTAGTTTAATTAATTCTGAAATTTATTGGGATCATAGAATAAAAAATAAGAAGGTTATTCTATGACACGGCTGCACTCCGTATTCAACGGTGGTTGCGCTGGACGCAAAAAAAAAATCCAAGTCACTGGTCCGACCTGAAAAAGCACAACCCTCAACCAAGTCATTATAACCGTTTACACTTGTACTTTATGTACCTTCCATAATTCAGAAAAATACATTCTAATTTGGTTTATGTATAAGAGGAATTGTAAACGTTCTTCACAATTTTTACAATGTAGCATTTAGTATGTGTTTATATTCATTCAAATATTCTCTTTTCAATTCTTTCATGATGTAAACTACTTTGAGATTGCATATATGAACTGTGTAATATGAATACATTTTCAGCAGTCGGGTGACTTTAAACCTTCACACTCACTATAAGGATGAAGTGAGGATGAGTGAAATGAAAAGAGAGAGAATAAATGAAAAACGGAGGGAGAAGCAATCCTCCTTTGCATAATATTCATATTTTGTTCTTTTTCACAAGCCTTGCCGATTGAATACATTGCAGATTCAAGGATACAATACGATACAATATCATATATATCATAATACAATATGACAACAAAATCAACAATAACGAGTGGACAAAATATAGAACTAGGGACAGAGATGCCGGTTACAGTGCTGGCCAATAAAAAGGGGTTGTGGATTTCTTTGAGGCCTGAGCAGTCAGAGAAAGGCACTGTGGGGTCTCCATAGTTCACATGGCAAACTCTCAAACACCCACGGGGGGGTAACCCTCCCTCCCTCCATCCCCTGTCATGCCTTAACTGAGGCTAGTGTTGACACAGTGCTGGCCAATCTAATTTTGATTGTCAGGAGCAAGGAATGGTGATCCTCCCCCCGCCCCCTGAGATCATCAAGTTCATTTCTCTGGCCACATAGGGATTTTTTTTTTCTTTCACCCCCACCCCTCCATCTCCCCAACACTAGAACAATATTCAGCCGTTCCTGGGCCTCTCAGAGTGAGCTCACTGGAGTTAATCTCTCAGGCCTCTCTCCTCTCTATTGCTGCTTCTCTCCCACTTGCACTCTCTCCCTCTCTTTCTATTCAAAAAGCCATTCGAGGAACAGCTTGAATTAGTGACAGTTATTATTCAGACTAATGAGTAAAATCTCAAAGGCAACAACAGCATTCATAAACGTCGTCTTGCCAGGAGAGATTTATTAATAAGTGGGTGACGTATGTAATTTCTGGAATAAATATAAGGTA